GTTCAGGAGATCAGAATAGGTTTTCTAGTGTGTTCCCAAAAATCATATAACTTTTCAGATCTTTTTAAAACATATATATACCCCCATCCGTCAAGTCCAAAATGTGTAGGTTCCCCAGAACCATACACCCACCGTCAAGTCCAGTAAGGCCCTGAGCACACAGCCGAGGAGCCTCCAGGTATACTTCCTCCAACATTACCCCCCAAATAAAACATGTTCCGTCCGTAAACGGATATATCAAAAATCAAAACATAATCCAGGTCAAGTATTCTATCAGAATCCAGGTCAAGTATTCGATCAGAATCCAGGTCAAGTATCCGATCAGAATCCAAGTCAGGTATTATAATAGAAATCAAACCGGAAATCAGGTAAAATATCCAGGTGATTAGGAAACACATCAGAGTTTGCAGAAATTATTCAGAGGTACCGGATAATCTTAGCAGGTAGAGAAACATGAATCTTCAGTATACCGATAGGATATCGAAAATTAGAATCACTATAGGAATAGTTCAATAACTAACGAAATCATCAGTTATTCAGAATCTGACTTGGGCTGATAAGGAAGAAATAAAGATTCATGACATTTACAGTCTGTGTCGATTGATTTCATTATCAAACAACTTCATATGAATATCTCCCAAAATTAATGCTTATCGACTAGTCAATTCATCGTCCTTACAGGGTATTTACACTTTAATACCACAAATTCTAGTCCATATATCATCTTCGGAATCATCGTTGAATAAATCTTCCAATGTCTTTATTTCATGTTCACGCTTCCACTATATCATGAAATGCAGACGTGCTTGATTTGTAGTTCAAGATCCATAAGAACATTACATCATGTATGTTCATTAACATTTCCAGACTCATCCAAATCACTTACTTAATCCTTAGTCCTTGAGGTTACTTAGTTCATTTAGCATTCAAGTCTATTCCAGTTACATCGGGATTTTCCAGAGTAATTCAAACGTTGCTGAATTTCATATACATGTTGTACTTCTGTTCTATTCAATTTGTTCTTCGTGGTTGATTTGTCGAACAAACGTCCAATTCTTAGTACTGAATGTGATCTAGAGTTGAGCTGAGCTGAATAATTCCAAAATTTATCATCAAGCCAAATTTGAGAAGACGAACACGCATTCCACTAATATATATGCCATTCAGGTATTGATATAGCTTTAGGGTTGATCTACTCACTTAAATTACGTTCCATTACTTTTAAAGGTAGTCCAATACCTATGCTTATTTGGATTCCTTAATTAATCCAAGGCATTTACATAATTTAGGCAATAAGGTTATTTTGGTAATTTTGGTATTCAATTTTATTCCATTCATTTCAGAGCTCGAGGATATCCAATCATTCCTGAGCTTGGTGATATTCTTGGGTCATTTCCATTACAGGGGTATTTTGGTCATTTTACAGATTCAGTGTATTTCAATCCTTTCCTTCCGTCCGATCTTACTATTAAATTCAATCTTATCATTTATTTTAGTCCTTTCGAACAATTCTGACAACAGAACACGCCCGACAAATTATACTTCAGGTATTTACTCATAACTCGGATATTTCCGGGTCAAGTGCCTTCTCAGATTTTACAAACGGAATATCAGGAATTTTGCTGCACTAAGTTAGGATCTTAACAATCAAATCCGTACTTAATCGAGTTAAGTACAAATCCTCAAAGTATTTTCTCATTCAGAGTCAATTCGGACTATTTTACCTCTCAAGGGCATTTTCGTAATTTCTTAACCAGATAATTTCGATATTACCTCTTAACGAAAATAATTATAATTTAGAGATCCTATGATTAATTGTTTTTCCGAACATTCTCTGATCTTGAAATGAATCCTTAACAGACTTCTAAATTCCAAAACCCTATTGGGGTTAAAAACCAGTTATTCGCATTTCCTAAGCAAAATTAACATTTCTTATGCACATCAATAATTTTTTTTACCGGATCAATATGTCTTTTCAGAGTTATTAACCAACTTTCAAGGACAATTCTTGTCATCCTACAACATAAGGGTATTTTTGTAATTTTACCCTACCGGAGTATTCTCATAATTTCCCATCCAAGTACCTTTAACATTTAATCTTTGATGATATAAAATATAAGTTACAAATCCATGGCTGATTTCTTTATCACTAATCACACAACTTGTAATTTAATTCTAACAATCTCTCAATCTCTTATATTAATCAGTCGATCCGTATTCAGTTATCGAATTTCTACCACATTCATATCGAGTGTATAAATTAATCAACTCCACAAAAGTGATCAACATTATCTTATTCATGCATTTACCAATATCAACATGTTCCATAAAGCATAAAGATGTAGTATAGTATTACCTCGATTTTCGCGCAATATTGACCGACCATTAAATTTTTTTTCGAACGCCCTCGATCTTGAAATCATCTTCCAATATTTCCTCGGATCCATACTAATAGAAATTACATAAAAAACGGAGCTTAATTCTGAAAAATAGATCAAATCAGATGATAAATCAATGAAAAACAACTTACCGGGTTCGAATTTGGCAAAACGGACTTCGGATTCGGATTCAAGACATCGAAAGCATAAACTATGACTTTTTGAAAATTTGGAATTTCTGGTCAAAGTCAACGGGTTTGAATGGCAATTTCGAGGCCTTCGGGTCTAAATTTCGAAAAACGGACTGCAGAATCGGATTTCGAACGTCGATAAACGTCAGTATAGGTATACTCGGTCAAAGTCAAAGGTCGTTTAATGCCCGGTCAATGCCGTTCAAAGTTCTGGTCAACTGTGGTCAACGTCGATCAACAGTAAACGGTCAACATTCGACCATTTTACACAAATATCACCCTAACAGAAATTAATTACAAAATCAGCCACCTTCTGCAAATATTTACGAAACTAACACCCGAATTTTACACAAATAGCACCCAAACAGAAATTAATTACAACCAGACGATGCCCACTCTCGGGAGTGGCGTGTGGGGCGCGGGAACAGTGCTACGGTATCGGAAAATTCTCGAAAAAATTTCTAAAAATTATTTTAAGGCATTTTGAGACACTTACTAAGCTCGGTTCGCAATTTTGAACGGCGAAGAACTCGATTCCGAAACGTCGGAAACTTTGATGGTCTCACCCCTCCACGCGTCGACGACGTGGAGAAACGGAGAACACCGGTGGACTCGGAACGATGCAAGGAACACAATGGTGCGGGAGGTGTCGTTAACGGATGAGCGGATCGTCGTGAATCGACGAAAAACCAACTGAAATCGAGTTATTACTGACGATACTTCCGACTGAAATTAACGACGAACGATGACGATTCACTATGAAAGGTTTGAGGTGTTTTGTTCCTCGGTCGACAACGAACACGATAGTGGTTTTGATTCGTCAATCAGAGGTCAGACGACGAGTAGATCAGAGATCGAAGTAGGGTGAACGGAGGAGAGAAACTGGAAAATGTCTCAGGAATGACGGGGAAGAGTTTATAATTATCTCCTATATAAAATTGGCTAAATTAATAGTTTAGCCATTGATTTTCCTGCACTTTATAAAACGGTCTGCAAACTTTAAAATTTTACAATTTAATCCTCAATTTTCCTCCCAAAATATCAATTAAATCCACCACTTTATAATTCTTAAAATTTAACCCCTAAATTGGGGTGTTATATAAAATTAAAATATTTGATTCGAGGTAGTAGAAATTGAAAAAAATAATGATTTTAATCATGATGTAACCTACGGATTATAGTTATTTTCTCCACTTGAGTGCTTTAGTAACTGTACTATCCTTTATATCATAATTTACTCAAAAAGAAAATATTGACGTCTTTTGGCTGATATGATTATTCGATTTGTCATGTATTAATATCACTGACTAGCATTTTTTATAATTATTTTGACTTTTTTTGGGAGCTAGGACTAGGGGTGTAAATGAGTTGAGTTGAGCTGAGTTCGAGTATTGTTGAGCTCGAATCGACTCAAAAACTCATAAATGAAGCTCGACTCGAAAATTCACGAGCTTAAAATTTTCAAGCTCGACTCGAACTCGAAATCTTGAACTGAAGCTCGTGAGCAACTCGAAAATACTCGCAATGAAAAAAATTCTTAAACTTAACTCGATTGAAGCCTCAAACTTGAACATGAACCTTAAATACATGAAATCTTACTGTCGAAATCCAGAACTGAAGCTCGTGAGCAGCTCGAAAATGCTCGCAATGAAAAAAAAATTCTTAAACTTACTCGATTGAAGCCTCAAACTCGAACATGAACCTTAAATACATGAAATCTTACTGTATTTTAAAAAAATTCAATACATAAATATTAATATTGTTAATAATTTATATTTTTTAATAAAAAAATATTATATATTATATTTTCGAGTTGCTCACGAGCTTTTCGAGTCGAATATCGAGTAGCTCGTTTCGGCTCGTTAAGAACTCGAGTCCATTCGATCCGAGTATTTATCGAGCCTTGATCGAGTCGATCTCGAGTAGCTCGCGATCTGTCTCATCTCATTTACAGCCCTAGCTGGGACGAAATCATGGTTAGTTATCGCTTTTGAATTGTTTGGGTAAACTACATAATTAATACTTAAACTATTAATTTTGATTTGTTGTAGTATCTAAACTTTTAATTTATTCAAAACATACCTAATTTTAGTTTTTGTTTCATTTTAGTATCCTACTGTTAAAAACTTAACACATTCAATACTTAAACTATCAATTTTGATCCTTTTTATTTCATAAATTTTCAATTTTTCTCAAAACTTAACATTAAATTTTAAATAGGGGTACTAAAATGAAACAAAAATTAAATTTTAGAAATGATTTTGAGAAAATTAAAAGTTTAAGTACTAAAACAAACCAAAAATAATAATTTAAGTACTGAACGTGTAATAATTTACCTTTTTTTTTATTAAAAAATGTAGGTACTAGAGTGAAAAGGGGTATAATTTGGAGCCAAATCATAAATTAAAACAAAAGTTATTAATTCGGATCCAATCCGTGAATAAAACGACCGTTTCCATTCCGGGTACAATATAAATTCACACCCGCAATCCCTAAACCCAAGAAAACGCACCCTCGTTCTCCTGCTGCTTCGAACTTCTGGTGCTGATCACTGCTTCATATCCAAGCCATGGTCTCGCCATCATCTCTAGCTTCGCTTATCTCTCTTTACTTTCAATGTTGCATGACTTCCTAGATCGTTTTTCTCGGGATCCAAACACTGTCATAACACTGGTGCATTTTCTATGGTTTCGTCTTGTTTTTGTTTAGGCGGATGTGGATGCCGATGTTGCTGCACCTGGTATACCAAAGAAGAAAACGTTCAAGAAGTTCAGTTTCAGAGGTGTCGATCTCGATGCTTTCTTGGATACGTCCACTGATGAACTCGTCAAGCTCTTTCCTGATCGTGCTCGCCAAAGGTTACCTCTCGTTGTTTTCTCTGTTTGTTTTTTTTCAATGGCTTTTAATTTCGAAACTAGACAGTTTCATTTATACATTTTTAGGCTTCAGAGAAGTTTGAAGTGGAAGCCAATGGCTCTGATCAAGAAATTACGCAAGGCTGTGAGTATTCTATTTTGCTTCTCTTTTGATTAATGAGGAGTTAACTGATACTTTACGGTTTGTATATGTGCTTGTTTAATGCGTGGATTTGCATTTGTTCTATTGTTGAGAGTAGAAACGAAAAATGCCTAAGATTTTGGATTACTCCTAATCTTTTTGTTTTTCTTAGTGTTCTAGTTGATTGTGTATTTGCTTTCAAGCGATTGACTAGACATAGATAAATGGTATTGACTACCGTCTGTAGTTTCCGAATGCTTCCTAGATTCAATAGTCGTGGTCTATTGATCTTAGAAGATATTGATGTTCACTTTGGCTATATTTCCCATCCAGGGATCTGGTTTTCTGAAGTTAGTCCCTTTGGTAACGTGTTATCATATAGTTTAACAATGCAATTTTTTTCACTCTTGTTAGGTTCTTTCGATTTGTGTACATAATAGGGTTTTCTGTTGTACGAGTAACTTGTTGGGAAGCTTATGATGTCAGGGTTTAATGGTTGTAATTTCTTGATTTCTATTTTTTTATATATATAATGGTACTTTAAGCTATCATTTTATGAGTATCTACCTCTCTCCGTTGCCCTTCTTTTAGCTAGTCTGTAGTATCATCTTTATAATCTCTGTTGTATGAGATTCGTGGCTGCTGTTGCAAGTGTCGCCAGTGAAGTAGATAGCCTTGATTATTCATTGGGATATTTTACTGATTTCTTGAATTATGATAAATTTCCCCTGAACTATGTTGTTCCAAGTAATGAGCAAAGTAAATAATAGATAGCACCAATTACTGAGGCTATTATTCTGCTGTCCTGAAATAGAAAAGGGAGGCTCCACCTGGTGAGAAACCTGAGCCAGTTAGGACACAGTTTCGAAATATTATTATGGTTCCTGAAATGATGGGTAGTATCATCGGTGTTTACAATGGAAAGACCTTCAATCAAGTGGAAATCAAGCCAGAAATGATTAGCCACTATTTGGCCGAATTCTCAATCTCACACAAGCCTGTAAAGCACGGAAGGCCTGGCATCGGTGGCACCCATTCCTCCAGGTTTATTCCACTCAAGTGAAGATTTTGCATGTGATTTCATTGTCGATCCTGCTGGAATGTTATTTTGTTATTGAATCTTGGTCAGAGTGTTTAGTGTTGCTGTTCTCTTAGTACTTAATTTAGAAAAAATGATTTTTGTTAAGCTTTGCTTTTCATTCCTTTTTCTATTCTGAATTATATTACCAACATTGGGTCTTGCCACTACAGCGAAATGGATTTATAGCGCGTTTACTAAGAAAACGTGTTAACATTTTACAAATTGTGGCATTTATATCGTAAATGCCACTAGATGTAAAAATTGGTGGTGTTTTTAGATAAACACCGCAAAATCCATTTACTTTTAGTAGCTTTTTTAGAAGAACACCGCTATAAAATGATGAATGCCACACAACGCAGCTATAGACTTGTATAATAGTGGAGTTTTCAGTAAAATCGCCGCTATAAAATGATAAACAGTAGCATTTTGAAACAAACGATGCTATAGACTATTATAATAGTGCATTTTTTTTCAAACGCCGCAATAGGCTAATACATTAGTGTCGTTTTCTTACAATCGCCGCAAAAGCCATTTACATTGGTGGTGTTTTTAGAAGAAATGCTGCTATAGATTTATAAACGACTTTAGACAACGATGGGGGAGGAGGAAGGGGAGACAGAACCAGAAATATCGGGGAAGGTGAAATTTATTTCTTTTTTTAATAATTTTTAAATGATATATTAATTTTAGATCCCTCTCACTTTTAAAATTTATAATTTAATCCCTAGTTTAAAATGTAAACTTTAATTTTTATTTAATTTAGTTTTAATTTCAGTAATCTAAATTTATGCAATTTAAATTTTACAATTTTATTTTAATTATATTTAATTTAGTCATTTTAAGGTGAGTTATGCGACATTTAAAAAAAATCATGACCACAATGACATTCGTTATGTCTGCAACCATGATAAATACGACGCGACCGAAAACGTGCCCTGAAACACTATTTATACCCGTGTTCTCCGCCATTATCTATGTTTCTTGCCTTTTATCTATTTTATTATTATTCTGCCGCCTTCTACTGGAAAACTGCTACAACGCTAAAAGGATATAACTTGTCGGCTCTTTATCTAGCAAATTCGAGGGGAAAATGAACAAATGTAATTTTGCTACAAATATAGAACAATACTTTAATTTGTTTTTATGCGAACAGAACAATCAGTCCATTTGTTTTATTTTGGTTATGGGAAACTTTAATTTGATGAAGAAACTTGGTGCCCGTTAATGGAATCGGAAGACCCAAGTCAGGTCCCATGTCGATGCATGCACGGTGTTTGATAAAATGTCATGAATGGTCGGTCTGCAGAATTTAATATGCAGTTTTCGATGAATTGAAAAAGGGTTTTTTTATTAGTGTTATGGTAATAATCATTTCAAGAAAAATGGGTTTTTTTTTGTTTATTTCAGACTATTACCAATTTTGTTGGAAATAATCATTTCAACTAAATGGGTTTCATTGGAAATAATCATTTTCTTGCCAATAATGATTTATTGAGGTAAAGTTTTCTGACTATAAGCTTTTGTTAGAACATGAAATTTTATTCTTTGTTTTTTCATTGTTAATATATTATTGCTTCCCTCAGAACTAACTGACAAAATATTCTCAGTATGCCTTGGACCCCGAACATCTGGCCTTGAATTTGTTCTCTCCCCTACAATGACATAATTTCAGCTGTAATAATGCATAGGGTATGATTAAGTTAATTGCCCGAGACCCAAGAAAAGAAGGCAGAGAGCAAGTGTTTTCCTTAGCAACTCAAGTTGTAAAATACAAAAATGAATTATTGAAGATCTGTCTCTCTTTCTTTCCATGTATGCATGCTTTTTATTTCGCTCTATCTCTACTGCTTTTGCAGGTCAGCCCTTGTAGAAGCACATAATGGATAAAACAGCTTTGCTGATTATTTAGAAGCATTTGGTAGTGGGAAGGAGGACCCTGTAAGTTTTGGTTCTAGTGTTGCAACTTGCAAGTTTTTTTAATTACTGTAGATGAAACAGCTAACATATGTGCATTTAACATGTGCTTAGCAAATTCCTGGTTTTCTCCGCTATATACCAAGTCTGCGTGCCTAGCTTCAAAGGGGATGGGATAATTCGGTTCAAACTTTCTGGCCCAATTTTCAGCCGAGCTTGTTTTTCACATCTAAATAACATGTTAAATATAAGATCGCATTCTAATCAAAGGTGTTTATGGGTTGTTAGAATGGATTTGGATCTGGATTTGATTTTGGATTTGGATTAGTATATTTCATTCTTGCCTAAGTTTTATTTAACTTGAAATTTGAGAATTAAATTTTTGCTCGGGTTCACTCATTTTTAAATAAATAGTCAAGTTTGTTTTATATTGCTTTTCACATTATTTTTAAATTTCTTTTTAAAATATGCTAATCTTCAATATAATATTAGATCATTATCTGTTTCTTTTAAGAAAATTTTAAACAAAGTTGACGTTAGTATATTTTAATGTTTTTTTTAATTTTATGGGACAATTAAGTTTATAAGGTTATTAAAGAAAATTATCCTTTAAAGAGTTAGGTTTAATTTGAAAATACATAAAAATTACTCCAAATTATATCTTTAGTCCTCATTCATGTAGTATAACTTTGAATCCTAATACTTCATCCACATTATAATTTCATTGCTAATAATAAAAAATCCGAATTTTCAGGTAGCCCCAACAATCACAAATTCATTAAAAGTTTTATTAATTTGGGACAAATACAAGACAAAATCAACTTAAAGATAACTCTCAACTATTTGACATTAAACGCTTACGCCTCTGATATTCCTAGTACTCGAACCCGAAACTAAAAGAATAATTTGTAGTTGGTACCCAAACAGACTAGGAACGCAAGCCTGCATTGCCCAACCAGAAACCAAAGCTTCGTAACGCATTCTATATGTCGCATTGATGTTTTAGTTGACAGATTTGACTCTTCTCTCTCTGATTGGGCATCATCTTAGTCTACAACTAACCCATTGGTAACTCGTCTCAACTCATTTACCTATTCAATCCATCTTACTTATCACCTAAGTTTGTTGCATTAGAAGTTGTTTGAAACACCAAGTTTTTATCCAAAATTCAACTCTAAGTTTTACTCCCATCATCATTCCTTCGACTAACAAGAACCATACTGGTTCGTTTTCAAGGCATTCAGTCAGGTTGAATTTTTTATCACCTCGAATTTAACTTGAAAATCGAAAATTTTCACTTGATCTCGATATGATGTTCTATAATTTTTCACTCGAATATGACCCAAAATTTCAGGGTAAAAATCCACCTCGATCTGCCTCAACACAAACTTTTTCTTTTTATAATAGTTTTCCCTAAATAATAGAAGAGAAGTCAATTCCAACTTGACTTCATCCATCAGAAAATCTTATCTGAACTTAAAATTAAAAGGAAACATTCCTATAAGATTAAATCGAATCAAAGATTGGGGTATTTTGATCACTCGAGATATGCAATTGGAATGTGTTGTGGAACCATGTTGAGTTCACATGCATTGTTGCAATGGCTCACTAGAGTTTCACTTCCAATTATGTATAACTAATTGGAGGTGGCTAACTCAGCCTGCCAGTTTCGTGTACCCTGGTTATGTGATTTTCAGAAGTTTCCAGCTGTATGTGCAAAAATGCATATCCTGTTGAATCCTTCACACAAACAAATATAACCCAAAACGTAAAAAGAAAACTTCAAAAATTCTGACCAAAACTGGTTAGTTGGGACAAATTTTTCCACAATTTTAGTTTGGCTCCAAATATAACCCAACTCATGGCATGTTGCAGATAATGAAATCCAACCCCACAAAAAAAAAAAGACCAATAATATCATCATCTTGAGAAGCACCGATAGCATTCCATTTAATTCAAGAAGTTCATCTCTTTTCAAGCTTTGATTGCAGTTCTTTACAATTTAGACCCTCCAATTCCACAATTTCTTTTGGTTCAACACTAGGCTTAATGCCGGCTACCAAATTGTTAAAATGGCTTGAGAATCTTGCTCAGATATACCCCATGCCAAATATTTACACAACCGAGTCGAGCCAACCATAATGGAGTGAACATTGAAGACTTGAATTCTTTAGCAGATTTTCCATCGAGACTATCCCATCGTTTGTGACGGTACTTCGGGTGGCTACCTTCTTCATGGATGGCTAAGCATTCCAAGCACCTCTCCACGTGCTTCCTTGCAGGGCAACCTCTCATACTGCTGCATTTATAATATCCCCTGCACCAGTTAAAAAGGAAAGGCCTCTGAGTCGATATTTTGCAATGGATTCCACAAACCGCACACACACACGACAAATTAACAAGCTTCCTATGAACATTTTAAACGACCAATGGAAACTAGCACCGCCATTAATCAACAAGGTAAACACTAAGAAGTTAAAGACACTATGTGTGGTATGCTTAATGGAAGTGATAAACAGATATCACAGACACCAAATTTGTAATGTCATAAGCAAAACCGAACAGGCAACACCGAAATTCGATTCATACTATATCAAATATCAGTATGATATATACATAAGACGATAATATGTACCTAGGGTGAGGAGAACCCTTGATCGGCTTCTGCCCGTACTTCCTCCACGAATAATCATCGGGAGGAATATCGGCAAGCTTGTTACTGATAGCAGGCACCTTGATTGATCTCTTCACTCTATGTTTCCTGCCAATATAATGCAACCAATAAAGCCGAAGAATCAATTATAAGAACTAATATCAAAACCATAATCCTTTAAAGAGAGAATCTAACCTCTTTTTCGAGCAATGGCATTTACCACTATTCCCACATTTGATACTCGAACCTTCTCCCTTACCGGCACACTTCTTGTGTCGGGAACCCTGATCCGGTGATCCAAGTGCCCCGATCAAATGGAAGGCATTCCCGCTGCCGTAATTAGCCACACTGCCATCTATACTAAGGGAAGAGATGAAAGACCTAGTGGATGACATGGTAGGTGTGCAGCTAGAGCTATCAAAGTTCAAGCTAATCCCACTATTCCTCTTCCTAAACAACATTTCAGCTTGAAGTTTCATTTTCTGTTGCTGCTGTTGGAGCTGCAACCTTTGTTGTAACTGCCGTTGTTGGTGGAGGAAATGATGGTGGCCGGACGGTGGCTGTTGGGCCAGTTGAAAAGGGGTTTGGCATTTGAACTTGGTTCCAAAGACGAGTTCCCCAGGCATAGAGAACTCTTGGCATGTGAACTCAGTTCTTGAACTGAGTTTCCATGGAAACCGAGCTGCAAATCCTTGGATGGACAGTCTGTTGGCTTATGGTGTTGATTATCCAAAAGGATTCTGTAAGGAAAAGGGGTTTGTAATTTCCTTTGCTTCCTCACTCTTGCATGTCCCAAACCAGCGTTTAAAAGTGAAACTACTCTTTTGAACCTAAAAACAGCTTCACCAGTTTCAGCCATTAAATTTCTGTAATGAGCTTGATCTTGAGGATGAGACAAAATGCTCAAAACTCTATGGCAGCTCTCTACTGCTGCCTTGTTAGCTTCTTCAACCTCCTCCATATTACCAACAACCCCAAATTAGATCTTTTTAAACACTAGAACAAGAAAACAAAAGGAAGACCCGTCACTCAAAATCCAATCTTCAGATCACCCAAAGACTCAAACAAGGATTTCATCAACGGAATCAAAACCAAAGTCAGCTTAAAATGCCAACATTTTTTTTTTCATTTTCCAGTACAGAGAAGGCCAAGAAATGAGAACAAGGAAGCAAATACAAAAAGGGGATAGAAACCAGACCCGGTTGGACTTGGTGTTGTCAAACCCTAAATTCTTCACACTCCCCACGTTTTATTTTTTATTAATTTCCTGAGATTGAAAGGTGTGAAAGAGAAGACTTCGTTTTAAGCCATTGACAGCATTCACAGACGGCCATTAACACAAACAAAAAGCTCCCATCCTTTTCTACTATATTATATTACTAAGAAAATAAATTCTAGACAGAGAAGGAAACTCGAGTGAGAAATTCAATGGAATGAAAGATTTAAATAAGGGGGAGGGGATGAAGCAATGAAACTGCCGTCTCTGTCACAGATTTGAGAGTGGGACCCAAGCAAAAGACATTGGCTTCATTCATTCTTTGTTTGTTTATTTTTTTTCTGCCATTTCTGGGTATTTAATTACTGCTTAAAACTACCATTCGAGTTCCAGTTTTTTTATTGTCACTTGTTCCAAAACCAGACAAGCTTTGGTGGTTCCTTGTGGTTTGTCTTGTGCTACCGTAAATTTGCAGAGTTGTTGAGAAACTGGTCAAGAGTTGGGGACATTGAGACTTACCCTTCAATTCTCTTCCTTTGTTCTTTTTTTTACTTTTTACTATTGACATTATGTTTTAACTATTTGATCTCACTCTATCGTAAAATCAAATCATTTTTACGAGGGTAAACTACGCAACTCCGAAGTAAACTTTACTTTTTCATATGTTACTCATTATATGTTCAGTTTTATCAATTTACTCACTAAATTTTAGAATTATTCATATTTTGGTCACTTTTAAATTATTTTATTATTAGGGTAAATTATAAATTTGGTAACTGAACTTTACTCTCCGTTCTATTTCACTCATTGTATTTTCAATATTTTTAATTTCCTCACTGAACTTAATACATTGGATTTTTTATCACTTCGTCGTTAAATATTTAACGTCATTAAAACGTGTTTTTATATAGATGCATAACACGCCATTTTGTTATTTTTTTTAAAATGACGGTGTTTTAATGTCTTAACTATTTAACGACGAAGTGACAAAAATAGGAGAGAGGAAGAGAGTAAAGTTTAGTGACCAATAAAACTCAATGTATTAAGTTTATTGAGAAAATTGAAAACTTTTAAAGTTCAGTGAGCAAAATGAGAGAAAGAGTAAAGTTCTGCAGTGAAATTTATAATTTACCCTTATTATTATTTTGGTATGACATGATATTTTTTTATTTAATAAAAAAATAAAAAAATAAAAAAAATTACATCATATCAAAATAATAGTAAAATAATTTAGAATGATCTAAATAAAAATAATTTAAAATTTCAATAAGAAAATTAAAAAAATAAATGTACAATAAATAAATAAAAAATAAATAAAGTTCAGCGGAATATAATGTATTTTACCCTTTTATAATCTTAATTTACCATTTACTCACAATATTCATGAACTAAACACTTATATATTTTGTAATATATATATATATTATGTTATTTATGTCTTGTTAAATAACACGAACCAATCTTCTCTAATTTGTATGATTTTCAGAAAAAAAAAATTCTCTCTTTTCATTTCAGACTTAATCTTGATTAATTTAAATTAATCTTTACTGTATATTTGATTTTGATAAACAATTTTTTATAAAAAAAAATTATATACATAAAATTTCAAACTTAAACTTATGTAAATGATATTAAATTACTTATTATTCGAATATAATTTTTAATTTAATTCGAAGCGTTTTTTTCCATATAAAAAGGTCTGCCTTAAAAATGGGCCCCAGATCCGGTAGACCAGACACACCCGAATTAGCCGTTGATAGTTTCACCCAATTGAAGCCTGCCATGTGTCTACGTTCTCGCCCCTAAATCCTAAACACGTATCCCCAAGATAGCGGCGCCCTTGATCGCTAGACGATTACGTCGGATCGCTAACTTGCGCCTGGAGGACACTGCGAGAACCCGCATGTGTAGGGCTAAGATTCAATTCATCAAACATTCGATATAGACTATACAGTGATTAGTAGAATCTATTAAACGACTTAACTAATAAAAGAGTATTATTTTTCAGGTTAAAATATATAAATAATTATTTACTTTATTAATTTTTTGAATATTAAAATTATAAAATAATTAAGATATTTTATAAAATAATATCGTATAAATGAGAGATCATTATGTATTTTATCCTACTATTTGAAAAAAAATTGGGTCATAAACCAACCATATAGCGTGCATTCTCGATAACTAAAATTTATTTTTAAAAATATTAATTTATAATTAATTAAAGCATTAAATATATATATGTAATGATTATTATTATTTTTTAATTAATGATGTAAATAGAAGAAAATATTTGTTCATAAATAATTCTTTATCATTTGATATTGAACACTCACACTTTTAGCATTCTTTATGATCAAACACAAGACCTTAAAGAATAACATAAATTCTTTTACCACCAATATCATTTAATTCGTGCTAATCATTACTATTTAAATAAGTTATATTGATATATGGCTTAATATAAAAATAAGTTTCTAAACTATACTTAAAATTAACTTTTGGTGTCTAAAGAATATTTCGCTAATAATATGAGTCTAAAGTTTTCTAGTTACATTTCTAAGTGCATACCGTTAAAAAAAGTTAAGTGACACGTGTTACATTCAAATTTTTTAAATAATATTTTATTTTTAAAGAAAATATAAATATGACACGTTTTACTTATATTTTTTTAATCTAAAAGTATAACGAATAAAACATTAAACATATATTTTTTAAAAATCTTTAGATATTAAAATATTTTTCAAAATATTCTTTACTCACTTGTTTTTGTATTAATCCTTATACATTAAACATGTATTAAATATTAATAGATGGGAAGTATTAGGTGCATGAAATAGGTGATGGTTGTTTTGTCTTGGACTATGATTCGACTGGACATGGAAACATTCTGTCTACTGGCTTTCATGTTTCAGGTTTTGAACCAAACTCCATTCCCCCTTGTCATTCATCCCCTTTTTTTTTTCTGAATTTTCATTTCAGTCTCTGTTCTGAAACAACACAGATCAGAGGCAGAGCCCACAGGCTAGCAGGGATCACAAAGTATAGTACATCACCTTGTCTACTGCCAGCCAGAGTCCATGTTCAGTTTTCACCATCAATCAGCCAAAAGATTCGACACTAGTCGCTTTTGAACCTCTATGAACTAATAGTTTAGCCCAGATAAACCAGAGCAAATTGACCACACTGCCGATATACAGTTGTTTTCTGCCATTCCTGAAAATGAAAGAAATCAGATTTTTGGCTCTTTTGTTTTCCTTTGCTGGATCTTTATGATTGTTGTGCCAGCTCCAGAACAGGCTGAGAATTATTTGGCCCATTAGAGACGATACGGAAGAAGAAAATGCTCAATACGGTGCCGTTTGGAGTTAGGAAAAATTAGCAACCAAGTCAAATGAATCAAGCTCGGATGGTCAAACCGAAGAAAAATTAGCTGCCAATGCATATTTTTCTTTGGTATTAATGGAATCTTTGAAATGAGTGGTATGGGTTTTCTTCTTGCTTTAGCCCCTCAGTTGCAGCTGAAGGAAAAAATCTGATATGAGTTCACACCAGGTTGAACTTCCATCGATATCTGAAAAAAGGACAACAGTGGAGTCCAAATCTGATGTTCGTGTACAAGAAGAAGATCCAAAGGATCAAGACGAGCATGAAGTTTCAGGGAAAGGGACATGGAAACACGCAGCTTTTCATGTTACGACCACCATTGCTACCCCTGCCGCTTATGCTCCTCTTCCTTTCGCTCTCGCCTCTCTCGGTTGGCCTCTTGGTAAGCAGTATCATCTTCTCAAATCTTTATATATAAAAAGTTTCCTTATTGATTATATTTGCTGCCTGATTGATTGGTTTCAAGGTGTGAGTAGCTTGGTGGCTGGAACAATGGCCACCTGGTATTCTAGCTTGTTAATTTCCACTTTATGGAGATGGAATGGAAAGAAACACGTCACTTACCGGCTTCTAGCAAATAGCATCTTTGGTCAGCTACATAGTTTTTGTACTGTCATTTGACCAGTAACTGTTGTGCTATTTGTTTGACCATTTTTCTTATTTCTGGTTCTTGAAGGCCTCTGGGGTTACTATTCTATTGCTTTTTTTCAGCAAGTGGCTTCAATCGGAAACAATATCGCCATTCAAATCGCCGCCGGCAGCAGCCTCAAGGCGAGTAAATTTGGCCATAGTTTTCCTTTAGGGATCAATACCAGTGATGCAATAACATATTACATATGTGTTCCATTGTAACTTTTGCAGGCTGTTTACAAGCACTATCATAAGCATGGCACACTCACCCTACAACATTTTATCATTTTCTTTGGGGTTTTTGAACTTTTCCTGTCTCAGCTACCTGATATCCACTCTTTAAGGTGGGTGAATGGGTTATGCACTTTCAGCACAATTGGCTTTGCCGGTACGACCATTGGTGTCACAATCTATAACGGTAGTCTTGGGATTCGATTCTTGTTCTTAGATGTGATCTTCAATAACACCTCTAGGACCGAGTGCTAAATTTCGACAATTTTGTAGGTAAAAAGATCGATAGGGAGTCGATCAGTTACAGTTTGCAGGGAAGCTCATCTGCAAAGAGATTTGCAGCATTCAACGCTCTTGGTACAATTGCCTTTTCATTTGGAGATGCAATGCTTCCCGAAATACAGGTTTAAACATAACATTTCAATTCATTCCGAGCTTAACGATCGAACTGATACACCATTATTCCCCCCCTCCCAACACACAAGAATACAGTGAGGGAACCTGCAGTAAAAAATATGTACAAAGGTGTATCAGCAGCATACAGTGTCATTGTGTCAACATACTGGCTGCTTGCTTGCATTGGATACTGGGCATTTGGATCACAAGTCCAGCCTTATATAGTGGCTTCATTGACTGTCCCCAAATGGACAATTGTCATGGCCAATATCTTTGCTGTGATTCAAATATCAGGATGCTATCAGGTATAGTCTTTACAGAACAAGTTTCTAAACCCAAAAAAAAAAGACCCCAAATTATTAAATCAATTCCTCTGGTTAGATCTACTGCAGGCCGACCTATGCCTATTTGGAGGAAAGATCGGTCTCGTCCGACACGACAAACAGTTCCGCTTCAGTGTTCCGAAATCGACTCGTCCGACTAACTTTCACTTCCATCTACATTGTTGTTGTGACTCTGGTTGCTTCGGCTATGCCATTTTTTGTAGATTTTGTGTCCATTTGTGGTGCCATTGGGTTCATTCCCTTGGATTTCGTGTTCCCTGTTTTAGCGTTCCTGAAGGCTGGGAAAATGCCCAAAAACAGAGTACTTGGCTTCTCCATGAGGGTGGTGAATATTGCAATAGCCGCCTGGTTCTCGGTTGTGGCTGTTTTGGGTTGCATCGGTGCAATTAGATTTGTGGTTGAAGACGTCAAGACGTACAAGTTCTTCCATGACATGTGATAGCCCGTATCTACACCATCTTTCCATGAAAGATCATGATGACATTTCAAAGCTCAGATATATTGGTTTAGTTCCTAAACTATCAATACTTATCTTTGTTAGACTAACACTATCAGCCCCTATATATTCGTAATCAGTTATTGCCTAAACTATTAGATTTGATATGTTTTAGTACTTAAATTTTCATTTTTTTAAAATCATACCTAACGTTTATTTTTTATTTCATTTTAGTATCTGTGTTAAAAATGTAACGTATTTAATATATAAACTATTAGTTTTAAATAAGTTGGCCCAACAATGCTCAAGTTTTTATTTAGAAGCACGCCCGTGATTGCTTGTAGGGTTCATTCCACTCACAACATAACACATATTTCCACTAATTCAAGATAAAATTCTCAATTATTTTTTATTAATTTGGAGTTATTACAAGATAATATTTATTCAATAAAATTTTATTCATTTAATAATAAATTTCCAAATATCCTACAAATATCGTGCTCCAATCTGAAACCTCTAGAAATAACAATCATTCATTTAACTATTGAAGTCGTTCACATTTTCAATTAGAATTTACATTTTCTACATAGAAAAATAAATTTATCTACAAATTACAATCTCGTTTAAATTTTGCTCGATGAGAATATAAACTTGTTTAGTCTAATGTGGATTCATAATTAGTTACTCTAACATTAATGTTTGTTCATGTCTATATATATATATATATTTCAAATAACACATATATAATAAAAAAAATTATTATCTTATCTATAATAGTTATTAATTCACATTTTCTTGTCTTTCGAGATGTTTTTTTAGGATAAGACTGCTTAGTTATTTATTGTACCGGAAATAACAAGGTTCGAGATACAACTCGGGATATCAGAAACAAACCAAACAGAGGAAATACAAGTAAAAGCCCAATGGGCGAGAGTATAAGCAACTGTGTTTGCTTCTCTGCGTGTGAAGATAACTTTAATATTAGGGTGCAAAGCAAGTAAGCGTTGTGCTTCTTTCAGGTGAAATCCAACGATGGACAGATCAAGAGAGGGATTGGCTAACTTGGTTGCTATATTCCTTGCATCGCCTTCAACAAGGACATAATCCCAACCATTTTCAATGGCTAGGTTAATTCCTTCAGTAAAAGCACGGGTCTCGAAGGATTCTGCAGAATTGTAACCTGAACGTTTCCTTGCAAGACCGTTGACGACAAGGCCGTGGTGATATCTAGCAACAACTCCTAAAGCTGTTTCTTTGGAATCTGCACGCCTGCTCCAACGATGTTAATCTTCAGGTAGCCCTCAGGGGGGACGTTTCCAGGAGTGTAAAACAACATGTCTTGTTTTAGTGGTGTCTCTATCAGATCGAGAGTCAGAAAAAAGTAGTAGTGCACCGTCATGAACCAGTTTGGATGTCAAAAGAGCGTCTTCATGCTTTAACTTATTTCTCCTGTTTCATATTTGCCAAATCAAAACAAGCAGCAGTACTTCTTCAGTAGCATAAAGCTGACACACTATTTCAACTAAACCTGCTGTTTGGAGTTTAGAACATGCTGGAAGAGCTTCATGGTAAATGCGCCAATCGAAAATTCTGATCTTGAGAGAAATGGAGCCTTCGCCAGTGCAAGCCAAATTTGGATGGGTCTCCATCGAGATTTTCGTTCTTAACTAAACCTGCTCTGTGTGTGTGTGTGTAATGTATATTATATATTTATACTTATGCATTCATTATATGTATATACTTATTTAAGTATATAATGTAAGTATACATTATACTTATAATATATATATGTGTATATATATATATATATTACGTATGATGAATGATATGATAATATAATGCATGTATATATATTAATGTACATTATACTTATGCATACATTATAAGTATATACTTATATATAATATAAGTATATATTATACTTATAATATATAAATATAATATGTATGAATATAATTCATGTATATATAATGTATATTATACATTTATACTTATGCATTCATTATATGTATATACTTATATAAGTATAATGCATACTTATACACACACATATATATATTATAAGTATATATATATATACATTTATACTTATGTATTCATTATATATACTTATATTATAAGTATACATATATATATTTATGCATTCACTATATGTGTATATATAGTAGTAAATATGCATATTTTTTATTACACTCTACTTCTAAACCTTAGTCGTTTTCTTCCTCATTTTCACGCTTCCCTTTTTTTCTTTACAACTTGTGTCAATTTTATTGATCTATCCAACTTTTTTCTTCTTTAATTTTGTTTAACCGGCGGTGGCACCGATTTTGATGCTTGTTGTCGCCCGTCGGTTATCTTTTTCTTTGTTTTTTAGTTTTTAATAAGAATAATTATGTCTTTTTGAAATGTTCTCTGCTTTATGACACGTTTATCTCTTCCTTTGTGGCACATTTTTCTTTTTCTTTTGGTATCTTACAGATTTTTGTCGTTATTTTCGTTTATTTTTTTCTCAGGGTTGGATTTGACTTCGTCGTGACTGATCAAGATGACGCTTTTTTGTTATCATGATGATCTTCCTTGCTTTAGACCCTTGAATTGATTTGGATACGCATTTTGCATTCGCGAAGAGTTTTTTCACGTCGTTTGACTCTGATTTGCGATTTATCGGTGGCCTTCAATAGCTTTATCCCCTTTTGTGGTTTGTTTGACGATGCAGTCAGATTTGTTCGGATCTTTATTTTGTTCGAGCTTTTTGGTTAGTTTTTTAACCTTTTCCTTATTTGGTTCTTGTGTGATCTAGGTGACTAGTTTTTGTGTCAATGGTTATAGAAAAATATCCTAATTATAATTTTGTTTATGTTTACATTATACTTGTAAATCTTCATTGTAATTCTGAATTTTTTTATTTTTAATAAAACTAACGCTTTCTATATAAAAAGTAATTATGCATATTAAAGAAAGAAGGGAAAATTAAAAGTAATTAGAATGTATATAGGACTAAATTGTATTGAATTGAAAATTAAAGAAGAGATTCACAATTAAATCATACTGAAATGAAAGAAATCAAAAATTAAATTACAAAATAGAAAAATGATTATTGTTGGAGGATCGCAAGCCTAATTAACCAAAAATATCTTTTGGGACACAAAGTCGCCGTCATTCCCTTTTCAAAATTCCAAAAAAAAAATTCCCTTAAAAACAAACAATTATTCCATCAAAAACCAATATTTCTTTTAAAAAATTCTCCAACCACTTATGTGAATATATATATATATGATTTATTTTAAATTGATGATTAAATTTTAAAATTTTTAATTTTCAATCTCAAGTCAATTTATCTTTTATATATATTTTAAAATTTTAAACTAAATTATATTTAAATTATTAATTAATTATTATATAAAAATAAATTAAACATATAAATATTTAAATTAATTTTATATATTCTAATAAAATCATGTTCAATAAATAAATTATTTAATGAAATTAATTTAATGATTATAATTAAGATTTATAATATAAGGATTATAATTAATATAAAAAGTAAATTTATTAATTTAATTATCATAACAAAAAAAAATTTAAATTTTTAAAAAGTAATCATATTAATTATCATAATTTATTATAAATTCAAAATCTCTCAACTTCATCAAAATCTCATAACTTCATCAATTGTAACTTATAAGTCAGGTAAATATCAGATCAGTTCAATAACAAGTCGGATCATTTACGTGTTGAGACAATTATAGATCATGTTTATAACAAGTCAGGTTGATAACAGGTCTGGTAATATAAGTTATTTACTGGGTTAATCTCGAGTTTGGGATCATATTAGGTAGGATACAGGTCGGATTCGATTATCACATTATTAGGTTCAATTCGGGTTCAGACCATTCTCAGGTCGGGTGCAGATCAGGTGTAGGTCGTGAATTTCAAGTCCAACTTGGGTTCAGGTCAACACCAGTCCGAACTCGAATCAATTTCGGATCATCATTGTCGTAACCGCCTTTCGGTTGGGCCCCGGAATTGGGCTTCGACTTAGGAAAATGAATTGGAGTCGCCGCCGACCACTTTAAAACGAATTTAGGTGGGTCAGATACCATCTTACATGATCTGCATTTTTACCAGAAATGTGTCGGGTTCGGGAGTCGGTTACGGTCAAGGAAGGATTAGCACCCTTGAACCGCCCTTTCGGTACCAATTAATTTGCCGATTGTCTTAGTTGCGAAAATTCAAAATTTAAATTAAAATTTAAAAACCCGATTCGAATATTTACCTTTGATCGATTGAAAATATCCCTAAAAAAATTCGAACAATGTTAGATAAAAAAAACTAATGTTAAATAAATGAAAGGGAAAAAAGAAAGAAAAAGAAAATATAAAAATATAAATCAAAAAGAAAAAAATAATAATAGTAAAGAAAACGAAAAGAAAACATATTGAAATTACAAGTAAATAAAAATGTTTAAAGGATCGGATTAAAATAAATAAAAATTTATGGACCAAAGGATGCTAAAAAACTGCAAAAAAAAAAAAAAATTAAAAAGGTTAGGGGAATATTTAAACCATATATAAAGAAAAGACTAAAATAAAATATTTACAAATATAATAATAAAAATAAAATATTAGTAATAATATATTATATATGAAATCAGTGACTGGAATGAAAAAATAAATAAAAATTGGTGGCCGATTTCAAAATACATAAAATAGCACGCATGGTGACCAAATTAAAACAAAATGAAACAGAATATCCATATCAGAATAAACAAATAACATGAGTTCCCTGGTGACTATAATGAACTGAAAGTATATTAAATAGCTTGAAATAAAATGAATTAAACTTGCAAACATTGCTGGAATGTAAGGCTTACAAAGAGAGAGGACTAAACACGCAGTTGTCCCCAACTGAATCAAATAACATGTTCCCTGTACACGCCACTTACTGTACGTGTCGGTGTTGGCTCTTTCGCCACTGCTCCTTGGACCCGCGCTCGATCGGAGATTCCCTCTCTTCTTCACTTTTTTCCTTTGCTATCTCCCCCCAGTAATCGTGTATTTTCCTTTTTTTTCCCCTATTTGCTTCAATTTATAGCCATGAAACTGGCTATTTTTAGATAGATTTATAGAGTCCTATTCAAAATGAAACGTTCCTTTATGTAGTTTTAGAGTCCCACTTGGACTCAAATGCCTTGATTTAG